GCGCGCCCCGGCCAATCGGCGGCCCGCGTCGGCCTCTTAAAGGCGCAGGAGCCGCTCCCCGCCAGGCGGACAGAAAAGGGGGGAGGCGGAGGCCACGCCTCCTGGCCGCGCCCCTCGCCACCCCCGCCTGTCCACGCCGCCGGGGTGGCGGCAGGACACGGTGGCCGAGCCGTCGCTCGGGTGTGCAGGCCTGCGTGCCGAGCGCGCCCACTGGGGTCGCCCCGTGGCCCCTCTTGCAGCCACGTGGCGGATGGGGGTGCGGTGGGGGTGGGGCCTGCTCCCCACTGGGGGGCCCCGGAACTTCGCTCGCTCTTTGGAGCCCCATTGATTTGATGAGAAAGATTGGAAGTCTTCGAAAGCGAGAGGGGTGTGTGTCCACCAGGAGGCCAAGAACACGTCTGCAGAACGCCCCCTCCCTCATGTGCAGGGTTGAGAACGACCCCCCTTCCCTCGGCCAAGTTAGGAAATGTCCCCAGATCCAGAGCCCAGCTGTCTGCCACCAGATCCCAGCTCCTTTCATGAGAGCTCCAAGCACCGGCCCGGGGAGGGTGAGGGCCTCCAGGGTGGCTGGCTGTACACTAGCCCCTAAACAGTTCCAAAAAGGAGGCATTTTCTCTTATTGTCCGGAGGGGAACAATTGCCTCTGCCTTGGGAGACTCGTGAACAGCTGAAGGCACAGGGCTCCCGGCTTGCTAAACGTCCAAGAAGTAAAAGTACATAGTTATCCTATGTGACAGAGGAGAAATGCCCTATAAGGTTCTGCAGGCTAGTAGACTCTGCTTGAAGCAAAATCTCCAGTTCTCCCGAAGAGGAAGAGCTTCGGCGTTTGACCAGCCAACGTTTCCATTAGCAGTCTAGCACTTAACCCATGCACCACCAGACCAGAGGTGCCTAGAGACTGCCAATTACCTCCAGTCTCCATGGATTCATGGGACACACACCCCCGCCTCCCCTCCCCACCCTGTGAGTCACATTATACAACTGTGCTGCATAATGCCTTCTTTTTCCTCTTCCTGGCCATGTAGAGTGTTTTCTCTTCTCCATAGAGTTTGCATGCTAAAATGAGCTGGGCTTGGGCCAATGGCCCGTGTGTACAGAACTGAATAGAGCGGGTGTTTGAGACAGTGTGATTTGCCTTGACGGGGAAAGGGAGATGGGGAAGGTAGAGGTGGGCACTCAAACCAGGGCTTGGAGGGCTCTGAACACATCTTCCCATGAAGCATCTGATAGCTCCAGAGGTGCCCCCGGTGCAGGCAGGTTTACTCCAGGCACTGTCCTGCTCACAGCTCTGATTCCTTGGGAACAGCACTGACTGCTTACTTCCTGCCTCCTGTCCACCTTTCCTCTCTCAAGGCTATATTGTTATCATCTGCCACCGGGTCAGGTACCACTTCATAGCAACCGTATGAACCGCAGATCTGAACCCTGTCTAGGAAATGCAGCTCTTGGGGTCGGGGGTGGGGGGTAGTCAATCCCACTTACTCTTGGTCAGGACCATGGTGCAGGCACTGGTGTGAGTAGCCAGTGGGCCTGCCCGCACTTCCTCCAGCTGATCTTCACCGTCCTCGCTGGTCCAACACCCCCCATTCCATCCATTGCTCCCCACCCCCATCTTCCACAGAGCCCACGGAGCTGCGTGCGGCCAGACGGAGTTCCTCACTCTGACTGACAAGATGTGCTCAAGGCTGATAATAATGTCTCCCCCTAAAACTACTGCTGCCATCCAGGGAAGAGACCTTCAGATTCTGCATCAGAAACCCTGTGTCGGATTTTCAGTGACTGATTTTATTCTGAGTAAATCACCAGACCTTCCTTCCAAATTGCCTCTGATGGCCTTCTAACATTTCCATTATCAGTGAAACATGTTTACTATCTGTTCCACACATGGATTCTAGAAACTGTCAAAACTTGGCCACGTTCTGACCTGTAGAAACAGCAGCTTCTTACGGCGCAACCTAATGACCAATAGCTGTCCAGGATTCAGCGGCTCCAGACTCAGCCTGGAGGGCTCTGTAGGGGGCAGATGAGGACGCTGGGGAGTAGCAACTGCATGATGTAGGCAGGGCCTCTGTGTCCTTCACACCCAGTTTCACTTCCAGATTTGGAGGTGGTGGGGGCTGACCCTCCCTCATCTCATTAGGCTCTCCAGGAGGGACGGTGTCTGATTACCCAATAAACACTGTAAACACAGGCTTACTCGTTCTTACTAATCTGAAGTGATCGAAGATGTGGTGCACTGCACAGGGCACTATTCACTCCAGACCTATAAGAAAGAACGAGTAAATAAATGAGTGCTTTACCTTTCTAATTGGGTAATTTGCCCTGCCAAAGAGAGGGTGTGTGGAGTGAGGGACAAAGGGCTCTTATCAGAGTAGATTCCTTCTCTCCTCCCCTACATGTCTGCAGGGAGGGCTGGGCCACATGGCTGGAAGCTTCCGGGTGTGTGAGTTTAACACTTCTTCCCTCTTCACTCAAACCACCTGTAAAAGGAACACGGGGTAGACCGAGTGTGACTTCCACCCATTTCATAAAGAGGAACTGTCCCCATCAATAATACCCATAGTGCTAACCAAATAGCTACGTGGTCAGACATGCCACCCCACAAGCTCCTGAACCTCCTTCTACCCAATTTGAGTTCAATCTTTGTTGCAAACTGACTCACAAACTTTATTCATAGTTGTGGGGTTTGTTAGGCAAATAGTTCGGAGGGTGGGTGAAGGAAAGAATATCATACGATGCACGTCCAGGTTTAGTCCAGCAGCCCCTACATAAGATTAACAAGGCACAATTCCTCAGTCAACAAGTAAAAAGTCTAGGTTTGTATACCAAAAAAGAAGTTTATCTTTTGCTTTTCAAAGAGAGGAACGAACTGGGGGAGGGGGGTAGAGCAAAAAGTGCAACAATGAATGGAAATCCAAAATCTCTGCAAATGTTCATTAAAATTAATAATTTTTTTAAAAAGAAACGTCTAGGTTCAGTTCAGCAGCACAAATAAACACTATTTTCCTCAACCATCCAGCAAAACTTTATCTCAAAGCAATTACAAATTAGCTTTTCATTCTATCAACCAGCAACCAAAATCTTTAACTGTGGCTCCTAGGTTCCTCTGGTTACACTTTCCCACCAGTGCCAGACTCTTCACCCTCTCTCCACTATCTCTCAACAGAGGGAAAGCACTCTCTTCTATCGGTCCCACAGCTATTGATGATTTGCAAGACCATATATCCACAGTTAAGGTAACTGGAGACTGTGCCCCTGGTGGGTGGGGCTCATGCAAAGGACAGAAAAGCCAATTTTCAAGGTTTCTGAAATCACACCACCTCTCTCCACTCTGGTCGTGAAGGTCTGAAAAGTCCGTGACTGAGCCACCTTTCTTTACCTAGAGACTCTTCTTGCTGATAAAATCTTAAATGCTCAGCCATATTTGACAAACAATTCCACCGCCAGGGTATGTGCACAGGGACGAGTACTGTAGCATCATTTAGAACAGATTAACTTGCTGATATTCTCAGCTGCCACGGCATCAGCTGTGACTCATGAAGGACCCTGCAAACAGGGGAAGCGATCCTGCCCTGTGCCATATTCCTGTTCCTTAGAACAGCCAAGCCCATTATTGGGCCGCTGTGTGTTTTGACTAGGGGGGGCTTATCTTCCAGCATTATGTTGGACAATATTCTGGATGTTTAAGTGGCTCAGTTTTCGGAAGTAGATTGCCAGGCCTTTCCCCCTAGTTTTAGTCTTGACACTCCACTGAAGCCATGGGTCACCACGCTGGTATTTGAAAGATCAGTGGCATAGCTTCCAGCCTCACGGCAACACACACGTCACCACAGTAGGACAAACTGCCAAGAGTGATGGGATAGACTCTAGGAACGATATGACTAAAAAGATTCACGGCTTAGAATCCTGACATAAGGGAATGCTATGCCAGGTATTTGAAAGTATGTCAATGTAGGTTTGTGGACCTGGTAAAGGATCCATAATGTACTGCTGGGTGGAGAGACAGCTTTTTAAGTGTACAGGCACACCTTAGTTTATTGCCCTTCATTTTATTGCTATGTATTGCATTTCTTATAGAAGACTGTGGCGCCATTTTTCTAACAGCATGTGCTCATTTTGTGTTTGTGTGTCATATGCTGGTGAGTCTCACAATATTTCAAACACTTTTTCTTAACAATGTCTGTTACTATTGTGTGCGCCACCAATTCAGAATCAACCCACAGCTGACCCTCCAATGGGTTTTCTTTTTCTTTTTGAAGCCTTAAAAATCCCCTAACTTTATATAAAAAAATTTTTATTATCTTTTTTGTGTGTACCATCAAATTGGATCTGACTGGTACAGGAGGAGATTGACCCTCCTTCTCCAGCAGAGCATCTGGTGGATTTGAACCGTTTGCCTCTGTGATTGCAGTGCAGTTTCTTGCCACTAGGCCACCAGAACTCCCTAAAATCCTGTAACTTTTTTATTTTAAAGGTAAAGCCTATTCCTAGTGGGCTTATTGGTAAGATTTCTGGTAATGTGCATGGGCCCAAAGGCCTCCAAACTTTTTGGATTCACTGCAACGAGGGTCAGCTACCAGCAGGGCCTGGTCATACTGGGTGAGGATGTCTTTGATTTCCTTCTTGGAGGCTGCATCCACCTATTTCTGGTAACAGGCAATCAAGGCTTTGGAGACAGACTGGCGGATTGTGTAAATCTGGGCAACATGACCACCACCCTTCACACAGACTCGGATGTCCACACCGGTGAAGCGTTCTTTACCCAGGAGCTTGTACTGCAGCGTGCAGGCTCAGTCATGTCCAGAGGCCGGCCGTTCACCTTGATAATGTCGTCGTCCCATATGCAGTGTGCCACAGCTGTAGCTGTCTCCTTATGTCCAAAGATTTGCCTAGACTGCAGCAGGCCCTTGCAAGACATGACAAATGACTAGCAGGAGAGACCAGAAAAGGAAAACGTGTGTCTACCCCAGCTGCTTTCAGGGTTTGCTGCAATGGGCTTTTAGAGGCACTAAATCACACACGAGGAGACTGCCCATCTTTCTCCCATGGAGCAGCTGCTGGATTCAAATCACGTGCCTTTGGGATTGCAGTGCATCAGGCTACTATCACTCTCTTAATGATATCTGGACTACAGTAGAAACATAACCGTTCTATGCATTCATAAACCCCAAAGTCCACATGACTGCCCTTACTGCAATACTGCCTTTATTGTGGTGTCTGGAACTGAATCTGCAGTGTCTCTGAGGAGCAGATTTACAAGAGGCTGTGACACCAGAGATATCTTTGCTGATGTCAGCTGAAAGCAGAGAATACAAGGATGTCTAT